TTTGCCCTCTTACAGCACTAAACTATGTTTTCTACCTCTATGTTGCATCTACCTACCACTTCAGCATTTTATTTAAAAAAATAAATAATAATAATAATAATAATAATAATAATAAGGGAGAAATGTGGGATTCACATATAAATCAAGTATAAAAATCAAACGAATATTCATATTTGACCTGATTGTTTAAAAGTTCATAATGCATGATCAAAACCAAAAGTTTCTGTGATGACTGCCCTTGCACTGTTCACCATGTAAAAACTTATTCAGTAGGTAAGAATTTGTTCACCATCTAAGAACTTGTTCGTTATGCTTCAGAAGATTGGAGACTGTTGAGAATTAGGCTTAGGGTTGATTAATGATTGTGCATTGAGACCCCTATACAGAATTTTATTGTTGGTAACAACCATTTGATCAATAAATATGAGCGATGCCCTCTCAAAAAAAAAATGTATTTTTTTCACAACTGAAAGGTATATAAGATGCATAAGACTTGAAAATGACACAAAATGGCAAAGTAGAGAAAAACATGAAGCGAAGCAGAAAAGCTGGCACTCTAATATCAACCAACTATTTATTTAGGCAAATTGCTTCATCTCAGTTCTCTGAGCCTCATTTTTCTGATTGTGAATTTTTAGCTTTACTAGGCAATGTCTACATGTTAGGTATGCTGTACAATCCAGGTGTAATATTTTACTACATATTTACCCATAGCCAAAATGCATGTTAAGTATATATTTATACTATATAAGTATATATAATATACTTATATATAAATATAAACAAATATAAATATATAAATGGATATATTTAGTAAATAAGTTAAGTATACTAATTAGTCTGCATGGGCTACATGGACAAAATACCACATACTGGGTGGCTTAAACAACAGAAGTGTATTTCATACAATTCCAGAAGCTAAGTCCAAGATCAGAGCATGAGCTCATCTGGCATGGGAGCTCTCTTCAGCTTTCTCACTGTGCCCTCGCGTGCTCTCTTTGTGTATACACAGAGAGAACAGAGCTCTCTGGTGTCTCTTTTAACAAGGACGCCAATCCTATTGGAGAAGGGCCCCACCCTTATGACCTCACTTAACCTTAATTATTTCCTTAAAGGCTTCATCTCTAGACACAGACACACTAAGGGTCTAGCTCCGACATGTGATTTCTGGGAGGACCCAATAACACTAATATTACTTAAGCAAGGATGATACTTTTAAAATACTTGTTGATTATAATGTATGAAAAAGAATACTATTTTGAAATTTAGAGAAACCCTCTGGTAGATTTTCCTGGGCCTATTTCTTATCGTTCAGTTTTAACCCAGTATGGAAATTGAGCATTCACTGGCACCACTCTGCTACACTGTGGGACACAGGGAGTACATGGAGTAACAATAACAGGTATAATTCTGTCCTGAAGGAATTTACCATCCAGGAAGGAAAACAGGTCAACAAATAATACATTATATTTTGACCCATACAATTAACAAAGATCTGGAAGGGATAGGAATAGTGAAGGAAATAAAGAGATTCATAGATGGGACAGGATTTCCTCCACAAGCTTTCATAGAGTACATGAGCCTTCCACAAGGCTTTGAAGATGAATAGGAATTAATCAAGCTGAGTAGTCACAGGGGGAAATAGCATGCAACAGCCCTGAACGCATCAGAATCCTGGTGGCAAGGGAGAAGAATGTAAATACATTCCCACAAAGAGTTTTGGAAACCTTTGTCAAGTTAGATGCTAAACTAAGGAGACTGAACTTTGTCCTTGTAGGGAGAGGAGAAGCAGTGAAGTCTGGTGAACTGATTTGATGCCAGCCACTGCTGGCACATAGTGGGTGTTAGATAAATATTTGTTGAAGGAATGAATGATCTGTTGAGGATATAAAGGATAGATTGGAAGGGAAGGAGACTGAGGCATAGCACTTGAATATTTAGGAAGCTTTATATCCACTCTAGACTGGATATAATTAGTATATACTTAATATGAAATTATAGTGATAAAGTAGAAAGAAAGAGTACCAGAGATGTGAAAAGATCAATGAATAGTGGATAGGGTGGGGAAAAGAGAGCAACCCAGAAGAGTGCCTGGATTTTTGAACCTGAGTTAATGTCAGAACATGAGGCACATGTTTGTTTCTACTCAAAAGGAGGTGGTTTATGTTTGGAGTTTTGTTGCATTTAAAAGGGATTGGATAATTCATGGTGAAATTTTCATGTGACATCTAGAAATACAGATTTGGATGGAGACACATATTGGAAGCCATTAATTTACATAGCATCTTTCTGTAGACACAAGTGGACTTTATGTTTAAACCGGGAAATGCTTAAAGAAAACACAAGGGCAGTGATATGTAGGTAGAAAGTTCTCTGTTGAAGAAGGGGAAGAAGAGTGCCAGTACAGAGGCTGTCAGCCTTCATGATGTGGACATAAAATCATGTCAACAGAAGTGAACTACTCTTTGGTAGACTGCAGAGCTCTACACATGCCAACAGCAGTTGATGGCATATGCAAGACTGTATGAAGCCCAGTTTTCAGTTCTGATCTTCTGGACCCCTTCTAAGGTGTCATGGTGAAGAGGAAGATTGGAGGAATAAAACAGAGACAGAGGGTTTTTTACTCCTGTGAAGATATAGCTCTGCAGAGGTGGGGAGACAAATAAACTGATATCAGTTTTGCACAGGCACAGGGCTGGTATTTTAAATTTGGTATTTCATTTAAATTCACTTTTGATGACTGTGAGAATATTTTGGTGTCTCAAAGGAGACTGGTGGAATCAGGACCAGTGGAGACTGGAATATGTTTGAAATCACCATCATGCAATGTTGCTAAAAAAAAAGAGACTTTTTCCTTAGGAAACTATTTCTATCTATTTAAAAAGGAGAGATTAAAAATGTTACTTTCAGGTGATATTTTATAACTTATAACTATTTTATTTTTTTTGGTTCTAAGGTTTGGAGATGTCTCTTTGCAAGAAAGTATTAATCAGGAAAATTTTGAACTTCTTAAAGAATATTATATGATATTTATAGAAAGGATGCCTCCTGATTGTAAGTATGCAAGTTATGGAAAACAACAATAATTTCTTGATTATGATCTTGAAGAGAGGTCAGACATAGAGGGCAATGGAAGGAAGAAGCATGAGGTGGGGATTCTGAGCCCAAAGGACTGATTGACAGGGCAGCGTGGCCAACACCTGCCTCATTGCCCTGATTGTACTCTCGAATGTGTCCTGATGTTCATGCTAGGACATTAATTTCAGTGCCATTGGGAAATGCCAAAAGTTAAAAATAAGAAATTTATATTTAGAAATCTCAATTAAATCCAATAGAAATTTTGTATACTTCTTAAGCATGTAAAAGACCTTAATAAAGATTTAGGTTTCTGACTTAGACAGAAGTCTGAAGCTACATAAGATATACCACACATATATGGGAGAAAATCAGATAGAATGCAAGTTATACAGAGAAGTATATAAAAACTAAGACAAAGTGATAAAAACTAAGGAACCAGTGTACTGAATATACTTACTGCAATGTTTATGTGAATGCTAACACACCCAAGCCTCTAGAAATCTGTTTTACAATTTAGGGATTTGGGTTTTTTTTCCCATTGTTCAGTTCTGTAGTTCTTTCTCCCACAAAATTAAGCACATAATATTTGAGCGGTCCACAAAGTTGAGAATGAGTGTGGAGCTCATCTAAAAGTAGTATAAATATGTTGAGACAGTGAGATATTCACTATGAGAACCTAGGTTTTAATAAAGTCGGAATTATTTTAATATTTTTAACCAAAAGCCATAATAAAAGTCTACCTGCCACCTAATCACTGGCAATTTGTTCACTGATCTGTAATCTGATACTAGTTTGAAATTTTTTAAATGGGAGGGAGAGTTTTTTATAACACAGTGATTTTGCCTCAAAATATAATACCATATGCAAGTCCATGTGTAAATATGTAGAAAATTTTCCCAGCATTTTTTATATTATTTTACTTCACATAATATATTTTTTAATGCCAAAATGAAATTAAGTACAGAAAGATGTTTTGGTAGCCAGTATACTTATGAATTTTAAATTTGCTAATTATTTGAAAAGTTAATATAAACAAAACTATTTTGCACTAGTAATTAATGAAAAAATCATTTATTATAACTTGAATGTTGGTGGATCATTTTTTACAAGTTACTTAGAGCTTGAAAGTCTTTCTCAGAAGTTTTTAGAAACAATTTGTTTTCTCTTTATATGTGCCCTTTCAAAGTGTGGTGGTCTGTGGACCAGCAGCATCCTTTACCACCTGGGAACCTTTTAGCCATGCTCTTCCCAGGCCCCTCTGTAGATCTATTGAATTTGCCCCATAATTTGTGTTTTAATAAACCTTCCAGGTGATTTTTGATCCATTCCAATGTTTGAAAACCCGTGATATGCCACCCTTACTCAAAACATACTTTACATTAAAAAGTAGCTTGTTTACAAAGTCTGTGAAGTATTTTAGTTATACTATAAATAACAGTCACATTACCTAAAAAAGAAATATGTATAATTGTTAAAGTATCATCTGAGATACGAAATGCAAAAATAATCCCTACATTCAAGTCATTTAAACTCTTCATTGGAATATGTTTAAAAAATTTGAATGAGACCTCATTATTTAATATGTCTAATTAAATATAACTAAGTGTTTTTAAAACTTGTAAATACATTTCATCCTTGAAAATAGGATGGACTTTTGCATCAACCAGTTGTACTTCATTAGGCAGTTGTCTTAACATACCAAATTTTTCCTGATATTTTGTTTCTTATTATGTGAACATATTTTTTGAGATAGCACAATCATAGATTTGATAGAATGAAATGTGACTGTGATTGTTTTCCATAATAAAAGTCAAAGCCTGATTTATGCAATTATACCAAAATATGTGGGGTTATTCCTCATGTAGATATATTGTAACCCAAAGCACCATTTAGGTTACAATCCATTCAAGGAAGAAACTATAAAGCTTTATTAAAAGTATGAATAGATATTAGGCTATTTGCTAAGGAGAAAAAAATGACCATGCTGGATCACGCCCATAATCTATATAATCTATTATTTTTCTTCCATGGTGAAATCAAGGACAATCTGTATCAATATGAAAAGTATAGATTACTACTGTAAGCATATTATTTTCATTTATTAATCCATTTTGGATGTTTTTAAAGTAAAAAATTTCCCTTTCTTCCCCAAAGATTTTTTTTTAGCTTTAAGGAAATGTCCCCTACTTTTGTGATATTAGGATTTAAGGCAAAAATAAATTCAGCCTATATATTTCCACATTCAAAAAAGCCCAGTCAAATAACCCTCATCTCTTTACTCTTTTTTTTTTTT